GTTCTTGTGCTGACCTCAAATGGCAACAGAAGTCTGCGACTAAGTAACTAAATCTCCTGCCTCTAGCATTGAAACAAAACCAGAACCCAGTTGCTATTTAGTCATACTCCAAACTAGCAGAAATTGTGTTTGGTTTAATCCCGAGTTCTTCAAAGCACACTACACCACTGAAGCCCTTCATCTGTCCAAAAGGGAAAATTCCATGGGTACTCCCACCGAACACAATTAGCTAAACTGCCTGCTCAGGCTCAAACTGCTACAGGTCCTTTGCTGAAAAGAACCTGCTTGTGTGGGTGCAAAAGCATATATCCCCTCTTTTCCTGTTGCTGTGCTGCAATCCTCTGCTCCCGAGGCAAGGTACAGTAGGTACAGGAAGGAGAGAGGAGCAGAGGCTTGAGCCTGTGTAGAGAAGGACAAAAGAATAAATCACTTATATGTATGGGCTGCCAACCTTAAAACAGGAGAAAAAGGTAAATCTGGCCCAGAAGAGGGGGAAATGCCAGGTTGACGTGGTTTTCTATATTACAGAACAAGAGCTACTTTCCCATCTGGATGGGAGATTAATATCCCACTAGCATTGAATGAATTTTGGGTAATTCTCTAGCAATAGTATTAATTTCAAAAATTGCCTTGAAAAAATAAAGCTGAACCATATAACTCACCTCTACAAGTCATACATACTATGCTTTGTCCTTCAGCTTTAAAATGAGCAGCTTATGATTTTGGGGTTCTTTTAAGATGCAGTCTTTACAGAAATAATATACAGACCTTTGTAGAACAATTGCAGAGGATGCTTGCTGCAGTTTACCTGTGCTGCTTCATATGTTTTTGTTTCCATGTGTCTGCTGCAAGGGTAAGGAGATAGCCAGAACTCTGCTGGCAGATGTTCTTCTGCAAAAACAGATATTGTTGCTAAAACAGCCCTGGGGCCGAGAATGATTGTTCTGCATGTTGTGGTTTGTTGTTCCATGTACTGTGGGAGTGTTCTGTGGAAATTGAGTGTTCCCTCATGGCTGTGTTATTCCCCCAGTTGCTCAGCCTGGGCTGTATGCAGGTTGGGTAAGCACATGTAGCTGGAGGGAGCATGCGGAGCAGCTGTTCTTCGAGTTTTGGAAGGTGGGCTGGAAAGGACTCCTAATTACCCAGGAAGTGTTTCTAGAGCCTGTGGAATTAAAAAACAGGCCTCTGTCTTTCCACAGAGCTGGTGATCTGTTACTTTCACATCACCATGTGAAACAACTGCACAGGTTATGGGACACTACTACCAAAACTGATGGAGATGCAGGTGCCTCCAGCCTCATACTTGCAGAAGTGTTGGTATTAGTTCCTTAGAGGAAAAAAGTTCATGCCAGCAAAAGCTCTTACCGCTAGGATGCATTACACCTCTGTTAGGACTGCTGCTTCTTGTGACTATGCTGTGTAACAGTGACCTCTGCACACTGCAAACATGATTTGCCTTGCTAGCAAATCTTTTTAGGATCAAGCTGTAAGATGATTTGGAGTTCTTCTTATGTGTTACAGCTTGTGGGAATACACTCCTCATTTACAATATCTGCAGTGACAAAAAAGCTGCAGGTGTAGTTCCAGTGATGTAGAGAATCCCACCTAAACAGAAGAAATTTGGTCTGGTACAGGATTTTATTTTGTAGTTCACTGGGTTCCAGCTGTCCCATAGGGAAAATACCAAGAACAGTGGAAACAACCTCATTCCTTGCTCTCCATGTCAATGTGGCCTGCAGGGGTTTTACAAGCTACGTGTTTCTTCTGAGTGATCCAGGAGCAAGGGCTCATAGCCCCAGTTGTCTCACCAGTGCAGATAAAAGTAATTATCTTTGCTTTAATAAGATCTTCCCCGCAGGCATATGTAAGCATATTTAGCTATCTAACTACACCGCATGACTCTAAGGCTGAGCTAACAGGGTTTTGGAAATTTTCAGTCAAGCGTTGCCACACGTCTCTTGCCTGGCCTGTCGTCAGAGGGCAGCAGCATATTGGCTGATACTGAGTAGTCATGAGGCATGAATGACTAAATCATTGCACTTGGACATTAAAACAAAAGGGGAAAAAAATAAACTTAAAAAAAACCCCAACAACAAAAAACCAAACCAAGAAACCCAAGACACCACAATCCCAAGTATTTTCCTACCTGTGAAGGTCATGTACTCTTCATGCTGTCCAAAGTTTTGAAGAGTACCCTCGGGTCATATCTGAGAATCTCTTTCATAACCAGGCTCGAATTAATTTCTCATACTTGACAAAAGTCCATCTGCTGTCTAGCAGCTGGAGAGTGTCCAGACCATTAAATCTTTTACAAATTACAACACTGGGACTTTTGCTTTAGGGAAGCCCCAAGATCCAGCTAAGTAATTGCTTAGATACTAGAGAAAGACCAGAAAAAAAACTCCAGTGTCCCTCTGGCTGGCTGGGGCTGAGGGACTCTTAACAGTAGCTGCATTCCTGCTGTTTTTAGACAGAACATTGGGATTGCAGCTCCTGATACAGCAGACATCAATGATCTCCCTTCCTGGGAGCTGCTTACTTGCCTGTTTGGAGTTGCTGCAGGCTTTTGGACTCCATAACCACCTGTGGCAATAAGGTCTATCTTTGGATGTTAGCTCTGAACAATTGTGTCTCTGAGGAAACCGCAAGATCTGGTACTGTTTGTTAGCTCCTTGCTATTTGCCTCTATAGCAAAATCCTGCCTGTCCTAAAGCACCTCTGAAGGAGCAGGACATGACATGTGACTCCTTTTCCAGAGAATTAATGGTGAGGACGTGCAGCAAGCTCAACTTTTTTCACCTACAACCGCCTTTGATGGGTTGGCATGGAAAGGTTTTAGGTTATATTCAGGTAAGTAAACAGAACTGTTGGCTTGAGAAGAACTGAAAATATCTCCATTCTGGTGTGAGAGCCCTGATAATTGCCGCTATTGTCCACCCTCCGATGTTAGCCAGCACCTTTTCAGTCCACTTAATTGTTCCCCACCCCTCTGATGGTTTCGAGAACAGTCTTGCCCATCCTTAGCCACTTGGTTGCAAGAGGAGAGGGCGGGGGCTGTGCCAAGACCAAATGACTCACCATCCAAAAGGCATTATCTTTCCTCAAATCAGGCCGGCCACGTGTTGCGGTTCAATGCCAGGCAGCAAATAAGCACCATGCAGCCACTCAGCTTGATCACTCCCCACCACCGGGTCGGGGGAGAGAATCAGAAGACTAAATGTGAAAAAACTCGTGGATTGAGATAAAAACAATTTAATAGGTAAAGCAAAAGCCGCACAAAAACAAAGCAAAACAAGGAATTAATTCACCCCTTCCCCTAGGCAGGCCACCTCCAGGACAACAGAGCCCCATCCTGTGTATGATTCCATAGAAAGACAAAGGCCATCACTCTGGATGTCCCCCTCTTCCTCTCCCCCCAGTTTTCTACACTGATCCCAATGCCATATGGTATGGAATATCCATTCGGTCAGTTGGGGTCAGTCTTCCCAGCTATGTTTCCTCCTAACTCCTTTTGCACCCCCAGCCTTCTGGCTGTCAGGGAGATAATGAGAAGCAGAAAAGGCCTTGACACTGTGCAAGCCCTGCTCAGCAGTAATGAAAACATCTCTGTATTATCAACTCCATTCTCAGCACAAATCCAAAACACAGCCCCATCCCAGATACTGTGAGGAAAACTAACAAACACAGCCAAAGTCAGCACAGCATACAGTTTACAGTAGAGTCAGAGTGCCTGCATGAGGGAGTGAGAGAGGGAACAAACATGTGAGGCACAGGGACATAAATCAGCTTTGCCAATGGAAGACTGTGCCTCTTATTATTCCAGTCACAGAAATCACTGCCTTCATTTTATGCTCCGTTTTTTTTTAACCATGGCAGCTACTTCATTGCATTAAGAGAAATTCATTGTCAACATCATCAAAGTGATAGAAAACGTGTGACTCAGGGAACTGGAAGCCTGTTATTACATATTCTTTGCTACACACATCTGGTTTTAGGTACTTAGACACTTACATAGTCAAGTTTAGAAATGACAGTACCTCCATGACAGTCCCTGTATTAAATACTGCTGGATATGGAAAATTCTTAAGGTGGGTCGCAGTTACTCACCTGTTTCTTTGACTCGAGATATCTGGCATTGCCAAGAGCCATGAAGCTGATCCACTAATAACACAGAAAAATTTCTGTTTATAGTTTCAGCATCAAGTAACAATGGCATACAGTTGCTACGGCTATTTATGTTCCATCTGTTTTTTTATGTTGCAATGCTCTATTGCAGTGGGGAAAAGAGAGATATATAAAAATACATAATGCATCTTAAAAAGTACTCTTTTTTATTTGCCAAATTGAATGCACTGTTAGATTTTCTCAGGGGGAGGCACAGAAAGATACAGACTAGAAGGAAGGGCTTACAAGATCATCTTGCCAGCCTTTCTGCAAGCTACTTGTCACAACTCCCTTCATTAGACACTTCATCACTTCAGCTCATGAGTGATATACACAACTGATGGTTTACACTTCAAATGGATAACTGGCACGTGGCAATAACTTCTCCAACTTAAGTTAAAGGTAACTGACCAGCACCTCTCCATACAGCCCCTGGCTTCATGTGTTATGTACACATAACTGTACAGTGATACACAGAAATGAGATTCCCAGAGGAATTTGTGCTTCCCCTTAGACAAGTTACATGGTCCATAATTAGAAGATCCATAATAAGAAGATCCAGGGCTTAAGCTGGGTAGCCATATCTTGGGCTTTGCTATAAGGTAGCTTGGTTGTGTCAGTCAAGACAGGAATGTGTGTGCACGTGTACGGGCACAGAAATGAGGGGCTCTGTGTGCGTGTACCTGGGCAATCGAGTCTCTGCACAGCTGCGTGTCTGCAGGCACACATCTGGATGCCAGAACAGGTTTTAGCTACAAGGTGTCCCTGAGGTGGCCAGCACACAAATAACAAGGGGAGAGATGAGAATAAGACTTGATTCCTGGCTGCCCAAGTACCCCACAGTGCTTAGGAATGATAAAGATGATGGCCGGCAGCAGCTGGGAAAGGAGCTCCCATAGTGGCTGAGTGGTGAAAATTACAACCATCACCTGTCTTTGAGCCTGGATATTCCACACTGCCAGGATAGCTGTGGTAAAAGTCTACTTTGTGCTGAGCAATGAAGCCCACTGTCTGCTGGACACTGCAGGTCCCCCCGCCTTTGCCAAAGACTCCTCCATCCTCGCTGGTCACGATTGTGTAAGCGTTCTGCCCTGCTCCGTAGTGCTGACAGGGGGCAGGCATGGCTTGGATGTTGCCAGCTGTGGTGATGGGGTAGCCCTGGTGGAATTTGGGGTGCACGTCCAGGTAAGTACCGCTCTGGAAGCCACTCTGAAAGGGAAAGGCGTAGAGTCAGAACACATAGCTTCTCCACTGGTGTCCACAGGCCTGACATGTACTGGGGCTCTGTCCCTTCACATTTCGTATTGTCTGTTCACCAGCAACAATGGCATGGAGGGCAAGAACTATGTCCATTCCCATAGCTCAGGGGTGGATACACAATCATATATATATATATATATGTATGTATATATACATATATGTATGTATGTATATATATATATCTCATGTATACATAAGAGGAAAACAGCTTTTCCCTGGAAACATTTCTGTGGTATAGCCAGCCCACTGCTGGGCTACCACCAGTACACATGGTGTGGTGCCAAGTCTGTGCCTCTGTGCTGAGCAAACCAGAAAGCCAGGTACGCTCACACTCGTGTGCTCAAGCTGCCCCCATGGAGGAAATATGGGACTGATCTGCCCAGACAGAAGAGCCATGATGAGCCATGGGCTGCGTTCTTACTTGCGTGAGACACTGAGCCCGTTCGCTCCACAGGCTCTGCTTCTGGCACCTTTTCAGCTTCATCCTCCGATTCTGGAACCAAGTCTTCACCTGGGAGGGGAAGGGAAAGCAGAGAAAATGTCAGCAAAGGAGAGGGAAGAACAAATGTAACCAAATTCACAAGCAGGAAGAACCGGAGGGAGTGACCAGATGGCAGAGATACACGGGCAGCAGCAGATAAAAGCCTTTAAGAACTCCTGGGGGGTGTTGCCACGGGGAGAGGTCTGTCTAGCAGCCTCAGCAGGTGGCTAGTGCAACTGCGTGATGGGGGAGGGGGTGGTCCGTGTCAAGCGACAGTGATCGTTGGGACAAATCGACTCATTCCAAACATGGAGGTGAATGATTGGTGTAAATCAAGATCCACCGATACCTCTACAAGCCCCCTGCACTACAAGCAAACTACAGGCAAACTCCTAAGATGCTGTTTCTGCATATTTGCGAACAAACCTGCTCCTGGTCCCCAGCAGTTCCCAAATTCAAAGCTCCTTGCTAGGGCAAATTCCAGGGCCATTTCCCCCCCGGGGCTGTGTCTGCACTGTGAAAGCAGCCTTTGCAGGGATGTGGATTGAAGGCAAGAGCAGACTGTCCCACCTGCCTTGTTCCTGACAGAACCAGTTCAGACTGTGCCATATGTGTGCACTTACAATGCACGTATAACTTTTTTAGTCCCAGGGCATCCCGGCCATCATGCCCAGCTCTGAGATTCAAATTTCAGGAAGATTTTGGACTTATAACTGCGAGCTCTTGTGCCCCATTGCCCAGCCCCCCTGCTTTAGGAAGGCATAATTGGAGGCAGCATCATTTCACTACACACAACCTACCTGGAGATCAGCAGAGACCCTAAAGGGCAGTGATGTGTGAACCTAGCAGCACCCACGGGGAGGAGGGAGCACGTGTCAAGCAGCCAGGCAGTGCTGAGTGTGGAGCATTATTAGATACTGGACAAGATAAGACCCAGGAGACACTAGCAAGAGCTTTCAGCATGTCACAGCAGCCCTGTGATTCAGAGAACAGATGCATGCCACGGTTTCTGAGAAGTTCACAGCTCATGAAAACATCTGTGAAGTGCTGTCAAGCCCAGGGTAGAGACTGTTTGTGGTGAACAACATATTCATCACTGGGTTTGCAATTCTACTACGGGTGTTGGCAACAGAACCCTTAACTGACCCCCGGCTTGGGAGACCCAAATGAGGTGCCACTGACCCTTCTACCTGCAAAAGTGCTTCTGATCTCTGGGCATGCATAAGCAGGGCCGCAACTGTTAGCTGGCACCTTTGCCTCAGTCCCTGCTGGGGACTCATCTTTCCATCCTGGCACTCCCTTAAGCGACCACTCAGCCCCGGTGAGATCGATACACTGTGGGTCAAAGTCTCTGTGTTCACCTGCTTGTAGGTGAGCCCCAGGGTAACAGCCAGCTCCCGGATCTGCTGGGGGCTGAGGTACTTCTGGCTCTGGAAGCGCTGGTGCAGGGTTAGCAGCTGCTCCTTGGAGAAAGCTGTCCGGCTCTTGGTCTTCCTGATCCCCCCCACACCATATTCTCTGCCCTTCTGAGACTTAGCTGTAGGCTGTGGGGATGAGGATGAGGAATGTGGACTGGTGGCTGAATCTGGTGTGAATTGGCTGAAATTTCCAGAACTGGATGAAGCTGGGGATACTTCTATAAATAAAAAGAAAATGAGAAAAGGTGTAAGAGACAAAATGTTTAGCTGTAAGGGTATAAGCGTGCTCCCTGCCTGCTGTAGAGCTCCTTACCTACCAGAGAGGAGCTTTTTTGAAGCAAAGGCTTGTGTGACCCTCCTTTCTTCACAGACCTGTGAGCACAGACAAGCACACTGAGAGCAAGGAGCTTCCCAGCTCAGTCCCCCCTGGGATCTTCATGACTTCCTTTTGCCAGGCAGAAAAGTCAGGACAGGGAGCGGTGCAAAAGCATGGTGCACATTGGTTCACAGTGAACTCTCCTCTTCCAGATGGCCTCAGTAATATTTCAGTCTGATTGTGGTGTAAAAAGGCCTTGTCATGACTGCAAGCATAGCTCTGGTTGCTGGCTGGGCTCCCCAGAACTGCCTGCCCAGCAATACCAAGGCACTCAATAGAGACAAAACAACCTCCGACCAGGCTCTACGGTGGGGCAGAGCAGCCAGTGCTCACAGTGAGGGCAGCAGGTGGAGAACATCAGGCACTGGATATTGGCTCAGTCCTCTTTGCCTTTGTCTCCCACCACAGACCGTGCCACTGCTGGAGACACTGTAGGTGGGAGGACCTATTTGTCTGAGAGGGGCTTTTGGTGAGAGAAGAATGAAGGAGAGAAATTTCACATGGAAAAGGAGAGGGAGAGGAAAGGTGGATGTGTGAAACAGGTGAAAGGAGGCAGCAATCCTGTACCAGGGACATAGGGGACAAAATTCAAGAGTGCAAAAGAAGGCATTCAAGCCCTTTCTCATTTGTCCTGGTACATGTCTTAAGGGATCTCTGTTGATGGCAAAGTTGAGACAAGGAAAAAGTTTCCTGAACAATCTGGGCTCCTAGTGAAGACAAAACCTGCCAAGATGCAAAGTCATTCAGGCTGCAGGAATAAGAAAATGTGTCACGTGCCGGATTACTGGGGTCTGAGGGAGGCTCAGTGATGAATCTTCCCATCCCTCCCTGCTCCAGCTACTCCTCTGCAAGCTGTCCTGCATGGTCCATCCCCTCTCCTCCTACTGGAAGTGCAGTGAATGGGGCAGTGCCATTTCAGTACACACCTTCTGACTACTGAGCCCAACCAATGTCTCCCAACCTCCTTACCAGTCACCCTGAGAGCTGTGACACTGAGACACCCTCCTCAATCTCCAGAACATATGTCCAGAGCAAAGTACTGATGTCCCCCGGAGGAATGGGCTTCCCACCCATCCTACAAAACTGTTCCTTCTTCTGTCCTAAGCTGAGAGTCTGCTAAACAATCACTGAAAAGCCTTGGAGTCCTGCTGGACCTCAGAAAGGTGGCCACATCTTGTAACTCTCCTTACAGAGGCATGGCTGTCTCTGCGGTACCAGCCACTCAAGGCTTGCCTGCTCTGGGCCATTTGCTATCCCCAGGAGATGACACCACCCAGAGCAAGGGCTGGGTGAACAGCCAGGGGTGTAGTGGGGCAGGTTTCCAGCGCTGGGGAGTGGGGCCTTGAGGATTGGAAAGGGATTCTGTCTGCCAGCTGGAAGAGGCTGTCAGCAGAAGAGGTGCAAGGGCCTGCAGTATTATGTGTGTGGGGCTAGGCTGCAGTGCCTTGAGGAACATCAGTGACCTGGCTGCATGGCAAGCCAAAACTTCGTGGGGTATCACAGGATGCTTGGCTCCTGCAAGCTGTGCAGTAAAAACTTTACAGGGAAGAAATGAGTATGCTGGGAACGTGGGCCTGGAAAACAGAAAAGTCTCCTGTTAGACAGGAACCACAGCAGGACGCTAGAACTAAAGCTCCCCCAGGCTGCTGCTTGACCTGTCATCCCAAAGCCCCACAAAATGTATCATGTGCAGCTCGAGCTCAGCACAAAAGTGCTCCCTCTCCCACGAGAAGAAAGGAAAGGAGAGAGGAAGCAAGAAACACAACAGTGCAACAGACATGAACATGAAAGCCTGTGACAGACCCACTCCCACAAGGCCTTGACATCCGTAGGCCTTGACTTCCACAGCGGGGCTCTCTCTGAGAGGTATGAGGGTGTTTGAGGATGGGGTTACAGTCAATGTACCAAACCCAGCAGGGACACACAGGAGTCCATCTGCCCGCTGCCTCTGATGGGCAGGCAGCATGCAGAGAAGCTACACGGCAGGTAGCCACATGCCGAGTAGCCATAGGCACTCTGCCTGAGCCTGTAGCTTTCCACAGCAACTGACAGCTTGAAAGTGGCACCCCAAAACCTGGCTCTCCTCCCATCCCAACTTTGCTAGAGTGTTGCCCTGCTGACCAAAATGTGGGGCTGAGCGAAAACCTGCTCTGATCAGCTCTTCTATTGCCCCTCACTGGACTGGGAGAGGAATGGCAGGAACAGAAAATGTCACAGTGGTGAGGCTTGGGACTTTTTGGTTTAAAAGGGAAAGGCAAAGCAACAAGAGCACAGAAAGAAGAGGGAAAGGGAGGAAAATGGCAAAATGAAGGAAGCAGTGTGAGTAACAATGCTGGATTTAAAGAAGCAGATCTCCCAGCACCCAGTGATTCAGAGCAGGCCTTGGCTCATGATAAATAAGCACATAAAGGATGCAAGGAGTTTGTAAGGGGATGAGGGATGCCACAAGAAGTATCTCCAGGATCTGTTTGTCTCGATGGCACACATGACAGCATTTAATTAAAAGAAGGTCCAGACATTCCTGCACCAAGAACCATGAACTTCCATAAGACCAAGTTGTCAGTCTGCCCTTCAGCCTGGAGCAGAGACCTGACAGTGCCTCCACTCTTGCAGGCTCTTCTGAGGTTTAGGAAACCGGTTGGCAGTCACCCAAGAAAAGTACCATGGAAAAGTGCTGTGACTGGCCAAGGTCACCCCTCGTCCTTGCCCACCACAGCGCAGTTTGCCTAGGTCACGCACTAAGAAACCAAGGCAGGGAAAGACAAAAATCCGCTAAAAGTCATTGAGCCTGACCTGGGAGCAGAGTTATCTTGGGGGTCAGCTCCAGGATTTAGCTGCAAGGCCTTACCTGCTGTGTGCCTCCTCCCCGGTGCCTCCGGAGAGTGCCTGGCCGCGGCGCCTCCGGCGGGCCCGGCCGCTGTGGGGGCTTGTCCTGCGTCCCCCGCCGCGTTCCAGCAGAGCTCCAGGTAGCCCCTGGCAGCCCCGCCGGGGTACGCGGGGTACGGGGGCAGCGCCAGGTGCGCGCACATGGGGGGCAGCCGGAGGGGCGGATCCCCCCCTCACAGCAGATGTCACCTCCACCTGGGGACAGGCCCCAGCACCGAGCTGACGCAGCCCCGAAGCGCAGGCAGGCCTTTATAGCCGGCCATTCCCTGCCTGGCACCGCAATATTCACCGCGGCCCGCTCCTCCGGGCTCTTTGTCATGTTAAAGAGGCTGATCGGTGGGGTGGGGACGGAGCAGGGGGGAGGGAAAGCAGCACTTGGGATGGCATCAGGGCTGAAATATGTCCCCTCTGAATTCTTGCCATTCTGCAGGTTCCTCAGTCACACCTGAGCAGGGTCTGACGCAGAGCCCCAGGACAACTCCAGCTGCTTGTGGGCTCCGCTGAGCTTGTCCCGGCTCAAAATCCCGAGAGCGAGGACGTCCCGTATGGAACAGCTGTTCCTGCCTCGGGAGAGCCCGTCCCCCGGCCGGTCTCCACCACGGGGACTGCACAGCAGCTAAATCTGGTGCTGAGCCGCTCCGAACCGTGCCGGCCTGCGCTGGGGTTGTGGGGAGGGTTCTGGGACCTTTACTTTGTGGCTTGTGTCACACTGACACCTCCCCAGGACCCACAGACACCCAGCCTTTACTTTGTGGCTTGTGTCACACTGACACCTCCCCAGGACCCACAGACACCCCCTGCTGACCTGGCAGCACTTCCCATGCTCTTGGTGCAGATGTCAAGAGATGGGAGAGGGGGATGAGTAAGAATTAGAGCTGGGGACTTGAACATACTTTTTCTTTTTATTCTTTTTTCTTTTTCTTTTTCTTTTTTTGTTTTTTTTTTTTTTTTTTTTTTTTTTTTTTTTTTTTTTTTTTTTTTTAACTGAGAAGGAATTTCCTTCATACAGGCCTTCGAGGGAGCCAGCTGAAAATGTGTTTGGCCTATCTTCAACAAGCCTGTGCCAGAGCAGGCTCAGAAACACTGGGCAAGTCACATCCGACACCAGATCTCGCTTTGCAGAGCAGGCTCAGAAATCTCATCTGGCTGGTCTCCAGGGGGACAACCAGCAGAGGCATGTTCACTGTGGATCTAGGAGAAGATCTAATGCATGTAAGGTCCACAGCTAACAGATTTGCTTGCCCATGGCCTTTCAAAAGCACATCCTTTTATTTGTGTAGCTTTGGCTGTAGCCTTTGCCAGGCTGCTACAAGTTGGTTGGAATAAAGGAGATGAAGAATTTCCTTTAAGACAGGGTTAGCTGATGTTTCCTGACATATGGCCTACCCAAGGGGGACAGGCACCTGCAGAGCTGTTCATTAAATAACTAAAGGTAAGTGAGTGAGATACAGAATTCATCTGTGGGCCTGCAGATTTGCCTTGTTTCGGTCCCCTCTCATCAGCAGGTTTTGCTCTACCTGTATTTAGGTAAATTTTATTGATTTAATTTCAAAAGGCATTGTGAGTCTCTCACTAATGTCCATTTCTCAATAGAGAGATAGAAGTCCCAGGGTTAATTAACATACTTATTGCTAGAACCAGCCCTGCTTTGGCACCAGGACACATGCATGCCTCCTGTCAGAAGCTCAGAGCTGAAGGTGCTGATCTGCAGAAGTGTAAAATGATTTCAAATGGACAATCCTTTCACTCCTCTGAACCTCATTACTTCACCGATGCTGGTTGCTGCATTACTTTCATCCCAAGTCTGTGCCCATCCCAAGCATCCCAGTACCTGCCAGGAGGACAGAGGGGCACCTGCTTGCTGTGAGTGTTCAAGTATCAGCAGGGAGAAGATACAGACAGGTGTGGGAAAGCAACAGAAATAGGAAGTAGAATTTAGATCAGTTTAAAAGGACATAGAACACCACTTCTACCAGGACTTGTGCTGCTGCTGTGTGCCCCATGGCAGGTCACTAGTCCTGCCTTCCCTGTCTGCAGAGACACTTTCCCATGAGGTGCAGACTGAGCTAGGGACCTGGCTAAAGTCTCTTTGACTTGGCACTGAGTTTTATGTTTTCTTCTTGCACGAAACACTTTTTTACTTTACAAACTGCAAGGACTGACATATCTCTGCACAAGAACAGCACGTTTTTATGTTAAATGTACTTGGAAAACTTAAAGCAAAACAAGGCCTTGTGAGCATATCTGACTCAATAGAAACCCAAGAGCATCCTGAATATGTCAATTATGCTGCTACAGCCTCTACATTTGCTTTGGCTCATGTCTCCCTTCTGAATCATTCTACATTTCAGGGCTGCAGTGCCACAAGAGCTGAGATCACTGTCCCTCCCACCTGCCCTCAAGCCCTAGCTAATTAAACTCCAGTTACATGAGTTGTACAGAGCTTGGGACCCCCCTGGGCAGCTCCAGTGCCTCCAGTCATGGAAGATGTGATGTTCTCCTTCTTACTCATGCCTGGCCTCTTACTGTATATTGGTGTTCCAATTTTCATGGCCTTAGGTGCAGTTAGGATATGAAACCAAGGTAGCAGACCTGGGAGGTATCAGCATCTCTTTTAGGATTGTTGAACCTGAAGACCTGGCAGAAAACACGGTGTGGGTGCTGGTGTGGGTGGCAGTGGGGGTCTGTGTAGCTGTTGGGAGTTTCACTGGCTGAGCACTTCACACTTGATCTCATTGATTTCTGCTGCTTCTGAAGGTGTCTGGGATCTTTCCTACAAGGTGCCCAGAGGCCATAATAAACCAGTGTAGGCACTTGCACTACAAAGTCCCTCTAGGCAGCACTTGGGGAGGAGGGTGGTGTCACTCCTGGGAGCAGAGCCATCCCTCGGCTGGACCAGGGAGTGGGGCAGCACGGAGGGAGTCACCTCCCTGGGGGCAGGAGGGGGGCAGAGGAGTTGAGGGAACCTCAGGGCCTCACTCCCTGTGGTTTCACAGCAGCAGCACCTCTGAGGGAGCCGCTTATGTCCCCCACAAAACATGTGGCACAGATGTGGCTTGGCAGCAAACCAAGCCTGGCTGGTTTGGTACTGTTTTGTTCCAGACCCGGCACAAATGCTCACTGTTATCTGACAATGCTGAGTATGGTTTTGGTTAATTATTCAAAGACTGTTAATACAGTTGTTTTAAGAAAAAGGCTTTAATAGTACTGTTTTATAATATTTCTCCTTTTTTTTTTTTTTTTTGAAGCCTCAAACAAATGCCCTGCTTTGTTTAAACATTTGTAGGGTTGTTGTGATCACTACTGATACTAATGGATTAATCAAACGACATTTTAAGAGCAAAAAACTGGAAAAATAATGCAGTTTGAAGGATAAGAAGCAAAGTAGCTAAAACATTCCCACATTGCAACATTATCGCTCTGTTCCCCTTTTAGCCACTTTGTTCAGCATGTTAATTCTTTAATCATAACTTGAAATTGAATTTGCCTCTTTTAAAGCACCATGCTTTTCTCAGACTTTTCTTTTGGTGATTTTATACTTTTTTTCTTTGCTTTCTGTGAGACTGGGCTGTAATCTAGTTAGATCCCTGTGCTTGCCTGGTGTCACAATGACCTTGTACTCTTTATAAATATTGTTAGTGAGTCTGCAAAACAAAAGGGTGTTTTTTTCCCTGCTAACACACACGGCTTTGCTGAACTGAGAGTAGGCAGGGGAAATGAGAATTTATTCCAAGAAACCCTAAATGTGCTGCTACTTTCTGGAGGTTTTAGGTGTGTCATACTGGGCTGAGAAATTCTGAAAGGGGTAACATAACTTCCCATTGAGGGAATATAGCCAAATTTCATTTGGGTGATCGTAAAAAGAAAAAACAAAAAAAAAAAAAAAAAGGAAAAGTATTCATTTTCCCTTTTTCCACTGTTCTCAGCCTAAAGCTGGTCAGAACTGGTCCTTTGCTGTACATAGCAGCCATCCAGAGCCACAAAAAAGTAAGTTAAGACCCCTCAGGGCAGAAAGTTGTAAGGGGATCTATGGTAACACCTACCTAAAAGTCTGGGGGAGGGTCTAGAGAGCCTGCAAACCTTAAATAACATTCGTAAGTGTTTCCTAGCTGCCTTCAATTTTTCCTTCTGTAAATGTAATTTAGGACACAACTTCACATTTTAAGTGGTTCTGGTTCATGAAGGAAGGGAACAGAGGGCCCCTTCTCTTAAATTACTCAGAGTAATAAAAGCCCAACTTATTTTACTGTGCAAAATTATGCCAAGAGGAAGATGAAACTGGAAAAAATGATCTGTCAGTGTTGCCAGCACTCCCACAGTCTCCTGGGTCTCACTTGTAGGATTTTACTTCCCATTTTGCCAGAAAAAGGTGTGATCAGTGTAGGCAGAAGAGAAGGCCTGGACAATATTACCACATCTACCACTTTTAGTCTCATTCCAATATACATCTCTTGGAATGTAGTAGACTACTCTGCTCTCACAGATCCTTCACAAAGCTCAGTCTAGCTTCTGTCTCTTGTCTTCAGATTTAAAAGGCACTTGTGGTTACTAGCCAAAGCAATTTCTCTGGCTGTATGGCTAGAAGTTATGGCAAATACAGCTAATTCTCCTCCAGCCTGATGCTGCTATGTGTTTCCCATTTCCCAAAGTGCCTGTCTGTGCCAGGCATGTGCCACCAGCTGAAAGAGATGTGAGAGTCCAGCCTTAGAAATGGAAGGTGGAGTTTTCTCCCTATTCAGTACGAGTTTTCACTTTGAAGAAATAAGTTTGCATATAAAATTACAGCAAGGCTACACTCCAGATCTACCATGTCTAAGTTCCCTGCAATAATGGATCTTAACTGCTGTTAAAGTAATCTGTGGTATATTTTCTCCCGGAAAGGAGGGGTGGGTTTTTATAATGCTTGCTTCTTTTTTGGTACTTGAACTGTTTCCCCTTCTCTTTAACAAAAGCCATGAGGATTTTTTATGGTGGTTATTGCCACAGCACCGAGCTGTCTGAAGTCTTGAAATCTCAAATCATGTTGAACCATTTTGCATCATGCATAGCATTTTAATCTAAATGTGCATATGGAGAAAACCCTCCCCTGCCACTGGAAAATTCATCTGGTCCTACAGAGATGTGGTCCCTGTGTAACCTTCCC